GATCCCAACTGCTTGCGGGACCCAGTAGTGATTCTAAACAATGCGTGGCAGGTTCCATTGTACCGACATTCATTGTATTACGACGCCTAAGGCTACGCATAGTCTCGTTTTGTACATCATTGTTCTCCTTCTTTACTAAACTCGAGAGATCATAAACAAAGTCTTTATTCTCCGGCTTAATACGATTCCGTATGGGACGCCTTGCCGGAGTTTTAACCCCGCCACTCGTGGATGTTTCATGGTGTGATTGCGACCGTTTGACTTTCTGTCGTGTAAGCTTATTTAACGTAACGTTAAGCCCACTAGAGATCGAAAGAGTTTTGTTACGCTTTAAGCGTTTCAAATTTTGATTTGTTTCAATGCTATTTTCAACGACGTCTTCTGTTGACTCATTTATGGCACTGGCATCATCAATGTCTTCATCGAGCACAACAATATCACCCTCAACATCTTCGCGACTATAGTTAACTTCGTGTTCCGAAACGAATTCGATTGACATCGCTTCGGGATCCCCCTTCATTCCGTGAGTATTGCCCAAGTGGTTGACAATGTCGTAGCGCCGAAAGGCGCGATAATCGCACAAAGTACAACCGAAACGCTGAGCCCGATAGTGGAACATAGATATGTGACGACGCAAGTTACTCAGCGCATTGAATTGCTTGTAACATATCTTGCAACGACATAGTAAACGTTTTTCCAATGGTGCTGAACGCACACGCCTGCACGACTTTTTCTCCGCGTCCTCCTCCGCGTTTGCGTCAGGTGAGCTGTCAATGGTTGTGGTTGTGTTAACGGAAGGTTCAACACCAGTTACACTTTGATCTAACGGCAAAGTTTCATTTAGCTTAGTCGGTGTATTTATTTGTACATTATCTTCCAGGTCCACGTCCTCCTTAGCATCGTCAGTACCGGAAGCCGTCGTGTCATCGTGATCAATTGTAACCGTCTGCAAGCCAACACCAAAAGTCTGTCTGCCCAAATTCGCAAACATTTCATTTAAGAGTTCAGTATCAGGATCCTCAGTAACCATAGATGTGATGTTTTGTTGTCGTGTGTCTTTTAATGTTTTCGAACGTTTCGAACATGTATTCATGCCATAAATTGTGCTCTTTTCAATGACGCTATACTTCACCGGACAATGTTGCAGATGTGTCGATAAGGCAGCACGCCGTTCAAACGACTTGCCACAATAGGTGCAAGTGGAGAGCAATTTCTTTGGTTCTAAATCACTGCCGTCGCTGCCAATACTGCTTTCAGATTTAATTTTGGCATGTGTGCGAGATTCTTCATTGCAAGTTTCCTGTTTTATTGGTGAAATCTCTGCAACCTCTGTTGGTACATCGATATCCGCGTCAACTTTATCTGAAAAATGAGATTTAATTGTTAGTGCATTGCGAAATTATATTATTGTGATTAATTTTGTGCAAACTAGTTATTTAAATTTTGACGCACTTGTGAATACTCTTCGATTCTTCAATTTCCTTTTCTTTGCTGTAGCGCTTGTGTTTCCCGATGTACTGCGCTCTAAAGGAACATACTCCTGCTTCACAGTTACAGCATCTTGCATATTCGTTGCACTATTATCCGATAAATTCGCTACATCATGGCCCAGCTCATGCGCTTCCCTGCCATTACAAGCCTCCTCTGTTGTCGCTGCTTGCAATTTGATACGCTTTGTTGCAATGCTGTCAATATTTGCCGAGGCAAGAGTTTTGCTTAATATGTTATGTTTAACTGGACAATGTAATAGATGTGTGGACAGAGCTTCAATGCGTTCAAAAGTTTTTCCGCAGTGCTCACAAGTATGACAATTGTTTGTTGTCAGATGCTGCGCTCTAGTAAGAACTACAGCTTCAGAAAGTGCTGGATTTGGATTGTCCACTTTTTGCTCTGCAAATGAGGTAAACACCATTGATTTTCTGTTGAAAAAATTATTATTATTTTTATTAATATTCAACATAAAGGAGATGTGTAATTAGAAAATACGCACGTGTGATCTTGCGAGAAATGCAATTCAAGTTCTTTGGTGTTTGAAAAATTCAACATACAATGCTCTTGAGGACAGGATAGTATATTTTTTATTTTCTCATTTCCGTTTTTCTCCAGCGCTTGTTTCGAGCAAATTTCTAAAACAAAAAAAATTATTTATTATTCAATCCACGATAAAATCAAATAAAACACACCTATAATATATCATGAAAATAACGATAAGAGTAATTTTTTATAGTTTAATTTGCTGTTTATCACTTTTTTTACTCTATTTTTCGAATAGCAAATAACAAATAATAAATTTTTATCCAATGACTGTCAGACACTTTTTTTTTATTAAATTGAGGCATGAACTGGAGGAAATCGAATCAATTTTTTTAAACTATTATGTAATTTATTAAGAATATATTCGTAATTAAATTTTGTTGACACATTTAAATATTTTTGTTACATTATATTTTTATAAAAAAAATTTATGTGTATATATTAACAAGATCCACACTTTGAAAAATCAAAATCTTGTCGAAGAGCAGAATAATTGCACCTCTTGTTAAAGCTGCTGACATTCTATATATACTTTGCACATTTGTATGCTTACATACTTACACCTGTATTACACACAAATAAAATCACTAATGATTGTACCAATACTACCCCCAGCTAACTTGGGCATACCAATACCATATCATATATACATTACATACATATTTACATATATATAGATTCATATATACATATATATTATATGTACATATATAGGTTATGTTCACAATGTGTATGTATAACTAAGAATATTTGATATAAAATTACCAGATATTTTTTCATCCATAAGTTCATTACTTTCACAATGTGTTCTGGTCTGTTGCACAGCCTCATCAGTTATTTGCAAAACAGATTCACATCTACTATTTATATTACTACAAATTTCTTTGGTCACCATTACATCGCTCTTTAAAAGAAAAGTATATAAAGAAAATAGATTATATGCACATCAACGCCATTTTATAAATAATTAGTACATTGAGCCAGTTACTTACGGCGAATCCATTGTATTTATCGACCTCAGATATGTCACCGTCACAGTGAACTGCGCTACGACAGAATTCTCTTTTATGACCGATGAACTGCGTCAGATTACGGAACATATTGCGACACAATTTGCACTCATATATGAGTCTACATTCCTTCAACAATAATTGTTGCACCTGAAATCCCAAAATCGTGAAATATATATATACATACATAAATATAACATCAATTAGTCGCCTTTCTTATAAAGCAAGATTAGAAAATCATACATGACCTACTTTTATGTAGACATATTTACCCATAAACACACAATATTACACCACCAACACATCTAGCCCTAGTTAATTTGCTCTTAACATAACTTGTCTACACCACAATACCAAATATGATCATACCTCTTCATCACCAGTATCATAGAAATGTTTGGCTTCCTTAAAACTACTTTCAAAGGTCAACTTCGTCTGCGGACGCATCAGATATATATCCTGATATTCGATTGAATGAACCTTAGCTCCAATATCCTCAGAGGCCGCCATTTGTTCCGTATCGGAGCTATAGTAGTCGGACGTGCGCTTTCTCATGTTTCTAGCCAGGTCACGTAGTCCCCTTTAATGATACACACTTTTTTTTACTGCTCTCTGCTACTAACTCTGTTACAGCGCTGCTAACGCTATCAATATTTATTTTTCTCTATTTTTTTCCTTACACAATCGCAACAAGCAAAAACTGAATTCTAAATCACCGCCTTGTATTAATAACACTATCACTATCGACTCCGTCAACAAGCGCCGTTGTAGTAACAAATGCAGTTATGGTACCGCTGCACTGCACCAAAGAATCCACTATGTTTTAGCACACTCCGTATCACTTTGCATTCGCCAATAAAGAGTTGGGAAAATGCATTTTATACCGCCTGCAGCTCACCGCAAAGCAAAATAAATGCACAAACACTCTATTTTCCTCTATCCAGTAGAATTTTCCGATAAATCTCTGACTTTTCTCTCTTTGCTTTACTCAAAGAATGCTAGAGGTGCCAGATCGTAATGGAGTTGTTAAGTTCCACTTTATGTTAGGACTTTCACACACATGATTTTGCTAACAATTATTAACCTTATATAATAAGATTTGCCACGAATCTCAAAACGTTAATACAATTTTTATCATCTAAAATTTTTAGCTAAAATGTGTAATTGTCTCGTATGTGTTTGTAAAGTATTAAAGCATAAATTGAAACGTGTGTACCAGCTGTAGTCAACCATCGGCAAACTTTGTCTTACTCTTTTTGTTTTTACATCTTCTTCGTAAATTTTGTTGTATGCTTCACACCAGGAATGGTGCAAAATCAAACAGTACAAAAATTTGATGTTGCCAGATGTGCTCTAATAAGTTTACACTCTATACATTTTTGTGCTATTATTGGGTATTTCTGATAGAATATTAGCGTTCATCTTTATTACCAAATGAACTAGTGTAATATTTTACATGGATGTGTTTTTAATATATTAGATATTAGTTTGTAAGATCATTTATAAAAGAGAGCTATTTCCGTCTATTTCGAATTTGAACAAATATTTGATAATTGTCATATAAAAATGTGGCTTTTCAAAAATTAAAATCAAATGCAATCCAGTTTTTACTGGACTACGAGGAAAGTGAGTTTCTTCCGAACCTAAATTTTTAAGGGGCATCTCATCTGACAGTCTATAAAAAGGAATTTTTTTAAGGAATAAAAAAAATCTGCATCAATCCTTTCAAAACTTTAAAGATATACACAGTAAAATTCTTAAATAAAAAATAAAGTTTTTTTGTTGTGTTACACGCTTGAAACTAAAACTTACCGATCCAAACAGAATTAAATAGCCTAAATAATAGCCCTTGGCCAGATATAATCTGTGTAACTCAAAAAATAGTATGAGCACCACTAACGAAGACAATTGCTTACCATTACACCAAAAAGGGCAGAAAGAAGAAGAAAACAAATATTGAAGAATTTATAAATTCTTTTATTTATATATATATATATTTGTTCATTTTTAGTCATTTCACAAGTGTGTACACAAATTAGTTGTTTTTGTTTTCATTTCGTCACTTTCGTACCCAGTTGCAATTGTAACATAAAGTTTAAAAAAGAAATACATTTTGCAGGTAATATGTATGTACTTATGTAATGGTAATTAAGCAGCATTCAGTGAAAGTTTCTATTTCTGTTTTTATTTTTTGATTTTTGAAAACTTTGCGTTAAACTTTCTTTGCACATACTAATTAATTTTCAATTTATATATTTTCTTTTAAATATGTTAATCCATAAATATATGCGTATATATTTGTATGTACTGATTCATTATTGTATGTTTCTGTGTATACACACGCATGTGTATTTGTTTATATATATTTATAAATTCCAAATTCATTTAATTTTTATTTACTATCTGCTTACTGAAGGAGGCGCGGGGTGCTACACTGACTGCATAAAGTATAACTACGTGGTACGTACGTATGTATATTCGCTTCAATTTCTTATCATGGATAAATATGTACGTATATGTATTTTTGCACATATTTAAATGTATTATGCATATAATTGAATGTTATTTTAGGCATTGCTCTCAGATAATAGAAATTAAAAATATTTTAATTTCCGGAAATTTTATTTCTAAAGAAATTTTTCTGTTGATTTAGCGAAAAAGTTACCACGCTGGAAAGAAAATCCCTTTTATTTGAAAAATTTAGAAAAGGAATTATATTCTTAATTATAATTTCTTAAATTATAATTTTTGCCGTTTCATTCGAATTAGCTGAATTTTAAAATCAATAATGAACACTGTAACTGTACATAGAATAAAGTCCACTTTGATCAATGAAATTCATAGTGATAAATTTATTCGAATTCTGAAGGGTCTCATGCACAAAACCTTATTTACAGAAGAACAAAAGCAATTATTGCGAAAATTAGTGAATATTTAAAACAATTATGTAAACATTAGACAACTGATTCCGCTGAACTCTCTGGGAACTACTTAACAGCGTACTTATAATGTTAATTTTAACTCTATCCTCTGCTGTTGCTAAGTTAAACTAACGTTTCTTCTTTTATTTAGCATGCTCTGTTAAGTTTAACTTTCTTTTCTTTAGCTATGTTAAACTAACATTTCTTAATTATATTTAACATATGCTCTGTTAAGTTAATATTCCCTGCTGTTGCTATGTTAAAATAATATTTCTTCCATTAGCATACACTCTTTTTAGTTTAATTTTCTCTGCTGTTGTTATGTTAAACTAGCGTTTTAATATTATATTTATTAATGTTAACTAACATTATCCGAACTGGCTGCTCTGTGAATAACATACATACGTTTTTGGTTCTTGATTTATATTTATACGCAAGCTTTATTTGCTTATCTAAATAAACTACTAAAAATATAATTAATTTAATCTTTTTAAATACGCTCTCTCTTAATGTATATGCATTTATTTTGTAAGTATGTATATATTTTCTATACATTTATACATTATGTTTTTTGTATGAAGTAGCACTTGACATGCCCAAGACTTTTTAAAGTTATCATTTTTTTATAGTTTAAATTTAACATTTTTCTGTAAGCTGGCAATACTACAAAGTGTTAGGCATAATTATTGTTTTTTAATTTATTTTTAATAAAATATATATGTATTTGTTATGTTTTAAAATAAAGTTATGTTTACACATGTATTTAAGGTTATGGTTTAGGTAATTAGTTAAATTTTAGTAAGGCACTAGTTACACGTTAATTTTGTTGTTAGATAATAGTTATATAATGAACCGATTTGCTAATGTGTAGAATTGTGCACGCTCGTCAATGCTACATGCATGCACCTTACACACGCTACACAACTACATATACATCCTACGCTTGCATGTGTGTATGTTACAGCTATGGGTCCGGGGAGTCTCAGGTGTGGAAAATGATACATATTTACTTGGTGTGCTTGATTTTTCGCCACATAACGGTATTTTAGGTGTTGTAATTTCTCTCAAACGATATTTTACTTAAATTAAGTAGCTTTTGGGCAATTTTTGTTGTGTATTTGTATACGTTGTGATTGTGTTTGTGTAAAAGAGGCGGGACGTTGTGATGTTTAATATATGTTTTTGAAGTAGATGTTTATGATCTTAACGTGTAACTACTGACTACAGCAATAAGTTTGCATATACATATGTATAATATATTATTGTTGTTATTAATATTTTTTCTTATTTTTTACATTTATCTAATATTTTCAATAAATACTGTAATTAAATTTTGTTAATTTTATATTTGCACCGTTTGAAGTGTGTGAATGCTTGAAGGTCACAAAAGCTTTTTTAAGCGTCAGTGTTATATTCCTCATTCAATTCTATCGGAATACTCGTTTTCATATCATTAGTTTCCGTTAATTTTTATTTAATTACATAAATGTTTTGAACTTCCAATCTAATTTAATATTATTTAAAATGAAAAGAAAAACATTTTAATTGTAAAACAATTTTTTTTTTTACTCTTTAAAGTGTTACTTCTCGAGACAAGGCTTAAGTGTAAAGGCAAAAGATTTTAATGCATGCAACTTTAAATAACAATTTACTTGAAATTTTAATGTTTTCAGTAAGACGTTCAATTATAATCTTAAATGCAACTTTGAATACAGCCGACAGGTATTTAAGCTACGTTTCCCATATAAGGTTTCGCGAATTTACGCTATATACGTACATACAATGCTTCCGGTTACATACCATTACCTAAAATACTTGACTCCAAAACTTGAGCTTTTCTAGTTTTTAGAAACCAAACATTTGTTCTACTTAAAGTTGCGCTGTAATCTAAAACCTTAAGGCATATCCAGATAGAATACGCTCACTACCCTCAATAAATCCAATTAATTGCTACTCAGATAACTTTTTTGTCTTCTCTTTGCGCCAAATTGCATGTCCCTTTACTATGTGCTCAGCCTAAGCATCATGTGGCCACAACTGACAGTATTTCTTGCAGTTCGTTTTTGACTTTTGTGTTTGATAATATCTAACCGTCACTGTTTATAGTATATGCATATATTTCTCTCAATATCATACGCTTTCTCGAAGCATATCGAAAAATATGCTTGCTAGATTTATGCCTTACATTTAAATTTTTTTTTAAAATGAGTGCTTTAGAAAATGTGTTTATGCTTTTCTGGTATTAAAATTGTGTATTTCACCATAATCCATAAGCAAGCTCACCACACACTCTAAAAAATACTTTTTCTTTAGCTTACAATGTTTTGCGTCTACTGCGAGCACGAATTGCTTAAATGTTGATTACTCGTATTAACTACCAAAATTAATGAAGTTGATAATTGGTTTTTTATTGCAATTATATACTTTTATTATATAATTAATTTCGTCTTTTTTTAGCTTCATTGAATATATCTGTTTAGTTGTTGTTTTTTTAATTTTTTCAATTTTATGCTTAACTAATTACTTAGTAATTAATTTTTTTTTAATATATTCATCATTTTTTATTTTTTATTTCATTTTAATTTGAACAACGGTAATTTAAACTTCAATTAAATATTTAAATATCATTATTATACATACATACATATGTAGTTGAAGTAGAAGAGTAATTAAAAATCGTAATCACTAACGTAATCAATAAGAATGTTGAACAGTTTCGGAATGTGATCTGATAATTATGGTACACACACATCAAAGCAGATAGTTCTGCGCATTACCTACATAATGTGAGTATGTAGTGTAGTAGTTGAAGGTTGCTAGGTTAATGCCTAACCTATAAATATATAAGGTTTATAGCATATATATAGAAAGTCTTTGTTGTTGTTGTTGATTTTTTGTTTTTGGTTTCTTGTAATGGTTAACTATTAGTATTATATTTGCTTTTTTAAATTATAATAATATTAATTTTTTTATTTGACTTTTCATTACAAGATGTGGTTGCAAGTGGAATAGTGGTAGTAATGTATGCTGTTTGATGTTGTTGTTTTAACACTACATACAAATATTTGAACAGACACTATTAGCAGGTGTGCTGCTGCCGTTGAGCTACTGCTAATATATTTTTTAAATAGTTTTATAATAGCTACTGTTTGCGTTTTTTATACTTGCATATGATTTGTTGTTGTTGTTACTGCGTCAATCAACATGTCTACAGGCAAGGCGAGTTTTTACAGTGAAGATTATTGCAGTATGTATGTATGTATGAGAAAATGGTACAATATATGTATGTACATATGTATCTTCGAATGAAATATGAAACATATGAAACACTGTTATAAATCGATGGAAAATATGAAATATTGCAGAAGGAAACAAGGTAAAATACACAATTGGACACAAATTAGTTATTATTCGATAGCATAATTTTCAAAGTTTTTTGTAATCATAAAATGTAATCAAGTAATGATTACAATGTAATCAAATAGTGGTAACAACAATGATTACAATTATCAAATAATGATTACGAGTAATCGAAGTAATGTTAATGAAAAAAAAAATAGAATAACAGTTCTCTACTCAAAGCGGCACGAAATCAGACAAGCATTTACTTAAGTTTGTATTCAATACTTAAGTAGTATTTAGAGATATACTAAATGTTTGTAGTTATTGGTATTATATGATCCTTGGAGCTGCTATTTTATGTACATTAGTATTTATTAAATTTAACGAATTGAAGCAACGGAAATGTTTACTCATTTATTTTTAATTCTTTGCTTATAATTTCATGTAAATGGCAATGACATGAGTCGTTATATAAATATGCGTATAATGAACTATGCATTCCTTTGGCTTAGGCGTTAACCTAAAAATTCGTGTGCCCATTTCTAGAAGCTAATAAAATGCAGACTTCCTTTTCAAATTTCTAGAATTTTGTTTAATGTAATTCGGCAGTTTGGTTTATATATGTATGTATATATTTGATGATTTTTTTTATATTAATTTTTGTGTTGTTACGTCAAATGTTTAGCAGGTTGTGATCGTGATTACTAATGCTTATGCGAAAGCACAATTTTGATTTATGAACAAAATGTTATTGGAAAAACTTTCAATGGATGTAGAAATTAATATTTCTTAATAGCACATGCAAATCTTAATGAAAACTTAATAATATGTTTTAAAAATATCGAAGATTATTTAAAAATATATTTTAATCTAACTTGAACCCGTGAATCAATATGGAATATTATATTTAATGGACGATTTTTTTTATGCAGGTGAAAAACTTTTTTTGTTTTGTCAGGAATATGTTTAAAATAGGCGTACATGTAATAATTGTTTTCAATAAATATTGCTTGTTACTCACTTTCAGATGCAATTTGATACATGTTAGTTTGAATTATCTTATAGTAAAATATTTATTTAAGAATGCTTTTAGTTAGTTGTTATATAATGATATTTACTTTTTTTCAATAAGAAAATTATTATTTTATTCAATAAGAAATTTGTTATATCTTTTAATAAGAAACTATAAAGAAATCTTAGGTGTTTTCGAATATACAAATTAAATTAACTTAAAAGTTACATAAATTCAATAATAGCAAAACTACAAATTTTTATTATTATGTTTTTTTTTTAAATTTTTTTTTATGTTTTATTTTTATTTTAAAGCAACCAATTGAAACTAAAGGCAACTTTTTTACATTTTAAATGTGCGCATACTATTACTTATGCACGCAAGTGACTAAAAATAATAAATACAAAATTTAAATTATTAAAAAATTATAAAATATAAAAATAAAAACAACTGTATGCTCTGTATGAATTACATGTTTAGTAAATATACATAATTACAATATTTAAACTTTAGCTAGCACATACAAGTCAGTTTCATTCAATGCTAATTTACAATGATTTCGCACAACACACAGAAGGTGTTACATACTTATATACGTTCTGTGTGTAAATAAGTAAGATCGGTTAATACTAGTCGGAAAGGAGCAGAAATAAAAAAAAACACTATTAAATACAAATTTAAAAAAAATATATATAAAATTGATGAAGACGGCTGAAAAACTTTTTAGCTGAAAAGCAATATGCACTTTTTTTTTCGTTTTTTATTTTGCTTGTGCAAACTTAATGTGTACTTAAATATGTATGTATGTAGGATGTGCTGGTGACATGCCACACAACTATTAATGCAATTCTTTGGTCACAAGTTATTTACATACATGTGAGTTTCGTTTCGTTGTGTGAAGAGAGAAAACTGAAAAAATTTACTTTTAACTCTGCCTTAGCGGTTTTGGTGTTGCCGGACATTCAAAATACACGTATTTTGTATAAAATTGGGCTGCATTCAAAGTTGTAATGTACACGAATGGCTTTTGTTCCATTTTTGCTTGCTGGCAGCCGCAAATAGCGAACGCATTTGGTTTTCTTTTTTTTTTTTTGCTTTTGTTGTTTTCGCCAATATGTGTATGGTACATGCAGCGATGGCATGTGCAACGCGTGAGTCATGTGATCTGTATGTTACATAATGGGGCAGGCAAATATGGTGTTTGGATGTGTGATGCTCGGTTTGCTGGCTATGAACTTTGATTGTATGAGGGTATGTTCACTTTGTTGCATGTTTTGTTTTCTATTTTTTCGATTTGGTTTTTTTTTTGTTTTTGATTATTTTTCATTTAAAATGAGTTTTTGTTTGGTTTTTGTTGTTTTGTTGTTGTAAGTTAATTTATACATAAAATTAATTATTTAAGAAAAGAAATTTCGCTATTGCTATCATGAGGATATTTGAGAAGAGAATGCTCAAGTTAGTGCCTAACGGATAACTACCTCCGTTGACGACGACGTCTCGCTCCTCCAGCATGGGATAGTCGATGACATGTATTATACCGTTGGTGCACTCGACATCCGGTCGATAGACGTTGATCTTCTTGAAATTCCAAGTGATAACATAACCTATAAATAAGAGTGGATTTTGATAAATATAATTTTTTTTATAAAATCATGATGGAAATTAGACGAAATATACTCGTATATAAAAGCTACGTAATGCGTTTGAGTATGTGATATGGATGTTAAGAACAAAAATTATATTGAACGTATTTGTAAACACATTTGGTATAAATTTTTACAATTTCATTTTATAAAGAAATAAAAACAAATAGGAGAGCTAAGTACGCGTGGATATCTTGACTTTATCCGGCTAAGGAAAAGGAGTTATCAATGTTCTATAAATGAGCTGCTGGAATATATAATATCATTTTAAAAAGTATAATAGTAATTTATTAGAATTGTTTAAGAAGATTAAGAGATATATATAAATTTGTTGTGGTCCTCTATATTTGGAAAAGGTCGTATATATTAGGTCCATAACTACATTCGTTCTGTTATTTTTTTTTTCAAAATTTGAACGTTTATTAAAGAAAAACAACTTCTGTAGAATTATTATCCCATCTTCCAGGTGGAACGTGGATTTCACCCCAAAAGAACTCAGCCGGCTTGACCAATGTTTGATACCCTGTTCTGATGTATTCCAGTGGTGGCGTTCTGCATCGACAGGATGGTAGTCAGAAGGGGCAATGTCTGGGCTATACGATTTTTTGCGTTTAGGGTCGTCCTAATAGATCCATTTTTCATTACCAGTCACAACTCGATGCAAAAGCGACTTCTTTTTATAGCGTTCAAGTAGCATTTCTGACATGCAAAATCGTCTTTCAAATTTCTATTTGGAAAATATCGTATATATTACTTTGAAAGTTTTTCTCCTCTGTCAAAAGCGAGTCTGTCAACTTTTCCGAAATTTTTCTTCAAGAAAACAGGTTTTCTACAAGTCTTACCAAGTTCAGAAAAATATTGTTGTGGTTCACTCAGAGACTTTTCTTAAAAATATTAACGCCGAATTAAGTAATTAACGGTACAGAGTACTTAGTACACGAATAATCAACAAAATATAGCTACTTTCAATACTAACGACTATAACTGATGAGTTATGAAGGAAAATCGGTGATGATGTACAACAAAATGTTAAACAAAAAGAGCTATTACTAATTAATGATTGAATTAGATGAGTGAATTTGCAGCGGGTAATTTTTAACGGTCTCACCACTCACCAGTCCACTCATGTGAAGCATATTCATCGTGAAGATCTTCACGTAAGCAAATAAAGCGAAAATATTTTGATTTTGGGAAAATGAAATGAAATATTTTTTTTAATTAATAGTTGGCTGTAAGTTAATAAAACTAGATAAACCTTAAGCTAAAACAAATTTTTCCTCATATTCCTCCCTTGTGCTTTGTTAAAATATTCTTATAATTAATGATTATACTTACGTCCAGCTTCCTCTTCTACTTTAACTTTCAGTGAATCCCTGTAGGTAGGCAGCAAAATGGAGTCGCCAGACGCAGCTGTCATGGCTACCAAGTCGTTCATCGTATACACATTATCGGCAATTACCAAGTGGCGTTCCAATATTGACCTTGACTGTAAGTATTTAAAGGTTTTGATTAGTTTCAACTTATATATTCTATATTGAAAGTTATTGAACGTACATGGTAGGAGAAGTCTTCCATGAAGAGTTTCTTATGTGTTGAAGGGTAGTCCAATTTGGTCTTTTGCCAAGCCTTGTCACGTGGCACAAAGTAGGTGAAGCGACGTTGTGTGTTATTCAGTTGATTATTAAATGCGGAAAATTGACCCAATTTGAAGGTATCGCTGGAAGCAAACAATTTAAATAGGTATTTACAAGTATTTCACCAACACGGTATACTACATACAGTGAAACATTTAAAAAACGGCTTAAGATACACGCTAGACTTAAATTTTACTCGAAGAAAATTGATGTATTTTTAATAATAACAAAATATTTTTCTAAAAAAAATTGTATTTTTCTAAAGCAAATATTTTGTTTACCTCATCATAGGATCCGTTTCGAGTTTTTCGAGTACAGTTGTATATGGAACGCCCAAAACTTTGTCAATAATGTGTACATAACCGTTAGTTTGAGCAACATCCGCTTGTAGTACAGTTGCATTGACGCCACCACCTTCAACAGTTATGATTTCTTCGTCATTTTCTTCTTTAATGTTGAAATACAAAAATGTACGATTGTTAACAGTTGGCACCTGGGCAATCTGCAAAGAAAAGGGGTGTTTAATGAAATTCATAACAAATTTTAAATACTAATTTTTTTATATTATTAATTTAGGGTACCTTCACGAATTTTCAGATATGGTAACATACTTTGTGTTTTTTTTTTTTTTGTGAGGTTTTTATACTTAAACATTCTGCTGATTAGGATAGAGTTGATAATTCGTACTCCCTAAAATGGTCTCTTTGAGGATTTTTTCAATGCTTAGACGATTTTTTTTTTATTTTTGCTATAGATTACATATGTACCTACATTATTATATTCACTTACAATGTTTTTGTTCTTTTGGCGTATTCGATCAACATTCAGCTTGTCCTTGATAATGTGCATATTCAGGATATCACGCAATTTCTCACGATTTCTGTAAAATTAAATAAAATTTTATTATATTACTATTGCTCTTAATACAAATGTATATATATATATATGTGTGTTTATAATTTAGCGTAGAATATCTCACCTTATTAAGTTTTGCACATCCTTGGCCTCCCAGGCATCATTGCTGGGTGCCAAAATTGTAATTTCTCCCAAGTTGCTAATGTCGGTTAGCACTTCGCCACCGTTATCCATAATAACGTCATAAAATTTGCGCAGAGCACCATTTTCATTATCCTAGACGGTGAAAATATGACATGTATTTGTTTTGTTTATGTAAAAGCAAACACTTTGTATTGAATAGAGTAACTATAAGCATAATAGTTGTATGTACATAATAATACCAATGTGTGCTTTGTCAAATTATGAAGGCTTTAACGCGCCTGCAAACTTTTAGATGAGTTTAACTTATATATATACAGACAAATACTATAAATTCAAAATGATTAATAAAATTGTAATTGTACATTTGTACATACCATAGATGTATATACATAGAACTTTTTTAACATAGAAATACTAATATTAATGGAACATTTAAAAATCCATTTTATAGCAATAATTATATTTAGTTGAAATTGTGAGTAAATACATATTAAGTGAAATTAATAAGAGCGGGAGACAAATACGAGTATGGGAAATTTAAAGCATATCCAATGTCATAGCATAGGAGTACGAGTATTTGGTAATATGAAGGAAGTGAAATGCTAAAATGAACCGCTATAAATATGATTATCTGATATTATAATTATATAAGTAGTATGCATGGGAATGTCTGCTAGTGCGCAGGTGATAGGTAATTAAAATCGCCATGCTGTAGGTCAAGAATAATGACTTAAATGCAGTGTGTTTCGTTCATTAAAAATGTTGCATTGCAGATTTGTTAATGTAAAAAATGCAGTTTTGTTATTTGGTTTTATATTTTCTATAATCATGAATTTTAAAGCGGAATTTCGAAAACCTGACGAAAAGGATTTAGATATGTAATTATTTTTGCAATTTTCTACACCATTGTTATTATAAATATTAAATATATTTGAATCACCAAACCTTGGATGACGGGTATCTGGACAGAAGACAGCGATGTAGCACATCGACGACCGTTGTTTTCATTATGGCGTCAAACAAAAGTACCATCTACAGATGTGATCTTATAGATCTTTCATCTCAACTTATACAGTACTATAGTTTTGTAACTTAAAGGATCTTTCACTTTTATAAAAGAACTGAATAAGATCTGCAACTAGTAAATTATAGTATTTCTTCGCCAATCAGGCAGAACCATTTTACTCAAGAAATGACGGAGAAAACTCTTATATAAGCTCTAATTGAGAATTTTTATCCAAACTCGAGCTTAGGACACATTTTGAGTTAAAGATTTTTTTGTCGAGAAAGTCGAGCTTCCATAACTTCATTCTTTAAAATAGTCAAATGTAGTGCGTATCCTATACGAAACTCTTTAATATGCCACTTATGTATATATGTCCATATGCACCAAAACATTTTATAAACGAAGGATTTTAGACTCAAGTTCTCAAAGAATCTGTGTGTCAAATGAGAAAATTAGTATCATTACAAATCGAACAACGGTTGAATACGTTAGACTATTTACCTAAAAGACATTTTATCGGATTTTGTGACCTTCGTATTCAATCGTTAAGTACAGATATACATATGTACAACCTTTGTAACGCTTGGAACGATAAAGGCGAATGGTCTGTCTCAAATTCTTCAAAGAGAGCAGAATGAACTTTATATGGTATGGTGTAGAAAATAGTAGTAGAAAATTACTTTGATAAATCAAAAATGCACAAGTGTTGGGTTCAGATGTGTCTATGTTTGTTTTATATATGTATACCTTATAGATTAGTTGAGATTTATACAAATCACTTCATAATGCATTATCAGAACAATAAATTTGCACATTTACATATATTATTCAACACATTTTGCAATTTTAAATTTTAAATTTGTTTCCCTTTTTTCAAATAATTTAATACTATTTCAAGCATACAATTTATTTATAGATTTTTTTTGTTTTATTTTGCAAATTTCTTACATACTTACATTCATCAACTACGCGTTTTGCGAATTGTTGTTGTTGTGATAATGAGTTTTGATATTGGTTGTGTTTTTGATTTTTGTGTCAAACGACAGTTAGAACGCAGGCAGAGCAGCGACAGAAACATTTATGTTTTGGTTTAAGGTCGTTGCACACAAAGAGAGAGAGAGAGTTTGAGGATTGCCATCAGCGTACGAGTTGCCGACAACGTCAAGAAAATACACAATCAATTGAAATTCGATTAAAATACTTTGTGATTTGTTATTTATTTTTCTTTAATATTATTTGTTTTGAGTTTGTTTCTAAGCGATTGGCAATAAATTTATGTATGTATGTATGTTTAAGGATAATAATATGTATTGTTTCGTGCAATGTTGTTGTATTTTGGCACTTGGTTCATGATTCTCTATATGTTTGGTATAATTATGCATAATTTGGAATAGTGTTTTTACTATTTTTTTCTGCAAACAAGGCAAAAGTGCACATTTCGCAAAAGAAAATTCCGATATATTGCAATACATATGTACATACATATGTATATATGTATGTTCGTACATGCAAACGGTTATATGAGAACTGCAGATTTGGAGCATGCTTGGCAATCATTTTCATATGTTCTAAGGCATATTCTTGTTTTGTCATATATAATTTAATTTTATCAATATATGGCATTATTAGGTCATATATAATTCAATTGTTTTTATACAAAAAATTCTTTTACTTAATTGATTGATTGTTTTAGTTGATTGAATTGTGATCTTACAATGGGGAGAAGCATTAAATAGCACTTTTGATCAACAAGTTCCTTTTCTAGATGCTATATTATTTTGGTCATTGTAAGTCTCGAAGCTTGTGTCAGAGTGAGATAACACTACGAATGTTTATTAAAACACTATTTTGGAATATATATATCTAAAATCTAATGTAATCAAATTAATCCGATATGTAAGTGTTTGATTGTTTTATGTTTGAAGCTCTCCGGTGAGTAAAACTAAGATTTTCTAATGATCTTTGAGTATTGAAATATGCAAGTTTTACTGTGAATAATTTCCACTATGGAAATGTTAAATGCGATAACGGACAATGCATACATATTAAAAAAAAGTGACTTCATGTTATACTAAACTATTTTGTATCACTTTATTATATTTTAATTTTCGATATAAGTAATTTTTAAAAACTCCGAGAATGACAATATTTGTTGAGCTGATTTTGGAATAAGGTGATAAAATATCATGCAATAAGTATATATGTTGATAGACACAGCGTTAATTTACGCTGTCGCATGCTGGTCACTCCACTCGCATACCTAGTAGTGCTTTGACCCAAATTTCTGTATGTAAATATGTATGTATGTATTTATTATAAATAAAATCTTAGCATTTGCGTGCAATTTTATTTTTTCTTTCTTTTTTTAATATGATAAGCTGAATCTAAAAACGTATTTTGTGTAGGCTTCGATTGAATGCACCTATTTGGAGGTTTGTAAATAATTATCTTGAACTGTGTCTCTCAAAAGCATGATCTTACCATTTGTTAAAAAAGGCGACTAAATTTATTATATATTTCTTTTATAACAAATATCCATCTCTGAGACACAACTAACATTTTTTTTAAATGTGATGACTTCAAAACGTTTGTGGAAATCATGCATAATCTCGGCATGCCATTGTCACTTTTGACATTACCAAACGATTAAGTGTTGACTTGAGACCCGTTCTTAAAAAATTACAAAAGAACTTTCTAAAGGTTATGTTTGAGAGAATTATCTTATTAAGCTTTACTCTATGTGCGAATCGGTATGCGATTGATTTTTGACATTTTTGTTTCACGTTTCCAAAAGATTTGCTAAAATCGTCCAAAATCTCGTCATCCATCGTTATTTACTACCATTGTCAAATGGAGGTATTGTAATGGTTATATTATAATTGGAGGATAGCTATTAAATTCGATTGCATTAAACAAGTTTAATTTATGTTTGGGGTAGAAAACCCGTCGACATCAGATATGTATCTGATTATATTTCGTCAAATAAAACGCTTCGAGCAATGCTCGGCGAATCCCTTTAGGCCATAAGAGTTCAGTTTTTTTAGGTAGATAATATCTTTTGCTAATCTTATATAAATCTATAAAGAAGCTACGCCATGAACTTAAAAATTTCGATATTTCCAGTAAATGCGTAGTCTATTGTAATATATATAAAATTGAGTTTAATGATTATCTCGAATATTTATGTCTCATGCGTTGAATTACAACAATATTATTACTGTTTGCTCCCAATTTTTTTTTAAATATTTAATTTTTGCATGCTGTAAAAATTGGAAATGCAGTGTATGCATATATTAAAATCTTATTGCCATTATATGCATTTTACTGCTATGTACCATATGTATGCAAATAATTATGTGTTTTATTTAGTATATTTATGTATAAGTTTGAGTATTGTATGTTTAATTTAGTTGTTTGCCTAAATGTTTTAAGATAATTTGCATTTACAAATACATACATGTGTATATATGTATACTGTATGAAGTATTTACCTTAAAGGACTAAAATGTTTGTTTGGTTGAGTGAGTTTCCGCAGCGTTGCACATAATAAAAACGAAAAAATTCACAAATAAAAATCGAAACAAAACAAAACAAAAAACATTCGCAGAGAAGAGTACAAAGAAAATACCAGAGTCAATATTGTTTTCGGCTTTATCACAGCAATTACATCAAACAAATAAGGAACGGAATTTTAATAAAATTTATATGCAAGTTGACTATATAACATTCGTATGAGACATGAAATGTCAATGCTTGATTTGTACTTGTACGGGATTGATATGGAGTCAATTGTTGCTGTTACAATTTACTTAAAAACGAAATGCTTGAATTATTTAATTTCAAGAAAAAATTACGAAAATATGCGTTTTATTGCAAAAATAAAATAATTTGAGTAGAGTGTGTGAAGGCTTCAAGCGTGTAGCCAATTGTAAAGCAAGTAAAAATTGCAGGTGCAAGAAACGGAACTGAAGGTCAAATTTAAATTATTTAAGAAACTAGCTTAAAATAGTATTTTATATTTACTTTATATAAATAATAAATAGTTATTTTTTAGTTGAACACAACGGAAATTCGAAAGTTGTTCCCTTAAAATATTAAGTTTTTTATTTTTATTATTATGAATATGGTAAACAAAGCTATTATCATAAACAGTTGCTAGTTAATTGCTTCATTTCATATTTTTTACATTCAATCATTTTTTTTATGTTAAAAAATATTTATTTGTAAATAATCTTTTAGAATAATTTTTAAGTGGTTTTCAGTCATTAAATTTAATTTTATATCACATTTAATAAATTTTAGAAATAAATAAGTTTTATCTGTTAAAGTTTTGTAATTTTAATTTATGTTAGAAATTTTAATATATATTTTCATGTATATATTATATTATATATTTTATTTTTTTAGTTTTTCGGTTGTACTTCCTAACTTTTATTTGTGCTCTAAAAGTTTGATAAACAACTGAAAATTATGAAATTATTTATAGGCGCATATGTTCTAATGTATAGTATGTAAATTTGTATTCCCCACCATAGTAAAATTAATATTTTTTTTTGAAATTCAAACAAGTTGGTATTATTACGACTCAACGTTGCCGTGATATTCCTTTTAATATTGTACTTAGATTTGATGCAGTAAATTGGTTCAAACAAGGGTCTGATTATGATAAAGAAAACAATATTTTTTGAAGTAAGAAGTATATTTAATTTTGAGTTGCATTGTTAAATATTCTTTAAGGATTAGTAGTAATTAGTATGAGTAATTTCTACGGAAATTGATGCCAACTGCGTTATTTCGGGACATACCATTTACCACATTTGCATATGTGAATATTTTAAAAATAATTCTTCAGTGACCAGTTTTTACAAAGCTAACTAATAATTTTTTAACAATCTATAGTCTATGCACTGAACTTGTGTACTGAAGATGCATATTTTTGGTAAACAGTGTAAGTTGCTGCTAATGTGTATGGATAGTGGGCGTGAATGATATATCAAAGAGCCAGAGAAATGAAATGGGGAGATGGGTAGTAATGGTACATACAGCTTCCATTTTGATAACAAATTAATTTTTATATAAATTTTTTGAATTTGGAATTTTTATTTTTTTTTATTTATATGCATATGTACACAGTTATGTATATGTTAGAATAATTTTATCAATAGGGATGCCAATTATATTGATTAGCATGATATTCTGATTAATTATGCAACTGACTGATATGACTATCCGATGAGGATTTTTGGGTGGTGTGAGTGAACGATGATCTAATTTGTTATTCATAACAAAATTACAACGTTTATTGGTTTTGTATACTTACATCGCACCCAAAATTTTTTTAAAATAAAATTTATATTATAAAAATTATTTTAAAATAAAATTTTGCTTATGATTTTACATCAAACCGAAAATGAATTACAAAATCGCACATTTGCTAATTCAAGTTCGAGGTAAAATCAGTCTATAGGGTTTTTTGCTATTTAATTAAAAAATGTGTTTTTGTTTGCATTTTGTAATGTTTTTGTTTAAATATTTGAAATGTTTGCTGTTTCGTTATGTTTTTGTTATGCATTTCTCAATGATTAAAAACAAAAAATTAAAACGTACGCTCATTGCAAAATATACATAAAATTACAAATTTTTATAGCGTGTAATTTTTCAATATTAGAAATTTATATGCATTCCCTTTGTTCGTACGAGAAACCTGTTTGAGTTGTAAAAAACGTTTTTCAAATGACTGTAGCAGGTTCAAGTCAGATCAAAGCTGCAAACCGTGCGCCGAGCGGTTAATGTAAAACAATTAGTGCTTGAAGACGAATTGCACTTTTCTAAAAAGCAATTAAAAATAAACAATATTCAAATATTTGGACATTTAAACATTTATATTGATTAAACCAGTCGAGTCGCAATTAATCATTTATTGTATACTACGTTTTTATAAATTAAATACTTATCGGCATTCTTTTCACGTACTGCCAGTATATTTTTAAACGTAAGGTGTAGCTAGAAGAGCTCAAAAAGTAATATACGCAATTATGTTTATATAATTCAATTGATTTGTTTTTCATTTTACGCGTTTTATTTACATATAAGCTATATATATTAACATATTAAGGTATGTGTCTTTGCCAAAATAATAAATTTTAAAATGCGCCTAATTGTGGGCAACATTTTGTTTATTTATTTTTTCTAATGGAGGAGTATCAATTTTTTTGGAAATTTAATAAACTAGTTCTAATATTTTTTAGGTAAGTAGCATTTTTAGTTTAAGTAACTGTGATTCAATTGTAGTTAAACCATTATACAACAATTCCAAAATTATTTTTTTTGTCTTTACTTATCGTGCCCACATTCAATGTAACTAATTACGTAATTTTCTTTCTTAATAACACAAAAAAAAAATTTCTTTTTCTCATATATGTAAACCTAGCAGTATATTTGTAGTAGCGCAGGAAGTTTACTTTAACAATAAGAAACTGGGGGACGTCGTGCCGTATGAGCGACATTTACATATTATTTAAATTACTATTTTTAAAACAAATAGGACTCAAAAACTTCCCCAAAAACTCGAGTTTACAGTGTTATTTTTTATCAAAACCAGGGAACAATTTTCATAAATGCTAAAAAGTTATGCTAAGGATAGCTAATTTGTTTAGCTTAGGTCTGAGTTTCTGAGTAGTCTTTAAAGCTTAACACCACCTAATGGCAAATAAACTCGAGTTAGTGACGCATGTACTTTTTCCAAAATAATTGAGAAGTTCCCGTATTTATAAAAATATCTAGCAATTAGTTGGGCATTATTAATGAATTGCTATACTGGTTATATGAAATTATTTGGCTGTAGTTATGCTATATGCATATATTAATTTCAATTTCCTTGATATTCATCAGAATCAGAAAAAGGCATGGGCAGCATCTTATTAAACCATAATTTGTATAATATTTACACATTTCTAAAATTCTGTCGATAAAAAGTTGATTATTTCTACAATTTAGGAAGCATAATTTTTATAAGCAAAGCAAATGTGCAGCAAATTATAAGAATGCAGACAAAGCTTGATAACTTCAATGTTTCGTTTGGAATGTGAGTAGTATTTCAAAAATGTATATATCACTCTTATAAATTTTTTCTGTGTTCACAAGTTATCGAGTTTTGACAGTTTGTAAGTGTTTTTTGTGCTAAGCCACGGGCAGTAAGCAGCGAACGGTTAATTATATCGAGTAAGTTCTTTTGGAAGACATTTTAATCTAATCTGTATCAATTGTAAAAACTTAAACCGTTAAACACCGCTTACTACGCGCACTTGTGCTCTGTTGTTGTAAGTTAAAATACCAACACAAATATAATTGCTAATGTTAGGGGGCGTGTCAAATACTAGTTAAAATGTACATAAACACACACACACACACATACACACTGGTGTACTACAGGAAAATTGTTATTGTATTTCGTCCAGTTTAGTGTCACGGGTCACCTGACAAGCAAACACAAACACACGCAACTGCACGCTCTTACTCATTGAGTGTGTTTATTTGTAATCGAACACCTACCTGTAGAAATTGCGTCACCGTCGAGTCGATTATCATTAGCGGCCGATGTATCAGATGCACCACACCATTTCGCACCGGAATGTTGCCTTTGACAATTTCCGCCAGTACCACACCGGTGGGGTGCTTGGCGTCACCTAAAATAGTATTCGATTTAACGTACACTGGAAGAGAGAGAGGAAGATAAGAAAACGCATTAGTATAACACATACATATACTTGTAGATATGTATGCATGTGTAGTATGTAGTTGCCGTAAATCGACTTACTTTTGCCATCTTTTTGTTTGAAGAAACTAACGGTTACTTTGAGATTGTCCTCGAATGCGGCTGTGGTTTGTGGCACTTCCATTTGTGCGGCTGCCGTAAAAATCACATTGTTAGGTATGACGTGTCCGTCGATGACTTTGTTGTCCACCAGGCTGCTGCGTGTGGTTTGCTATGACAATTAATTGACATTTAATTGATTAGTGGTTGCAATAAGTGCCGCTATTAAATGTCGTCGAGGTATGCTTAGATGTGTTCGTAAACATAAATATAAATATTTTGTATGTATCAAGTTGTAGGACCCTATAGAAAATGTAGTTTATAGACGTAGTAAAATTTGAGCTTTTTTTCAAAATAACTGTAGTTGTAGTAGTTGCACTAGGATTTTGGAACGGCAGAAGTTGGATTGTGGGGTCTTCAAAGGAGGTATTGCTTAGTTGAACATAACAGATCGAAATTATACTAGTTCTAAAGTACGAAACAAGTTTAAAATGAGGAACAACTATATAATTTTTATTAAGAAATTTCACATTATATCGTTGGAATAAATTAAAAGGTTATATCCCCTTGCAAGTCAGAATTGTTAATGAATTCGTTTATTTTTTTATAGTGTTTTGTTTTGGAATAGGAATTTTATTTAGTTAATAAATAAAGTAACGTATATTTACAGAAATAAATGTACTTTTATAATCGGTTATTCATTTTGCAAAATTTTGGATTCGTTTGATTACGTATTCGAAAAAACTCCAAAAAAGGTGTCTGATTTTCTGCTTAAAATTATAGCAATTCCAAAAATCAAAAACTTTATTACTGGTAATGACCGAAGGACTAGTCAAAATTTGACAAAAAAAAATTTTTTTTAAGAAAAAATTGAAAGAGTAAAGTTTTGGTAGCCGATTAATTCTAACCCTTGTTTCTTAAACATTCTACTAATTTTTCCAACTAGTACATTTCTAAATACTTCTTAAAGTGCACCAAACCTCTTACCAAAGTAACTAGTTGCTCTTACAACATAAGTGTACATATACGGTTTTGTACGTTTATTAAATTTTTGTCGAACGAATGTATTAATATATGTATAATCGCATTTCTCTACACAAATAATTATAAAACACTTATTACATTTCAATTTAGGTGCTTACCTTGAAACCTTCATCGACGGGTATTAAAAATGTGTGTCCACCTGGCGATTGATAGAGATTATCCTTACGCATTAATGTCACTTGCGAGCGATACGATCTGCAGTCATAAGGAAAAGAAAGAATAAATAATATTTGTCACTCTTTCATTTAACGACGTGTTTATACCTCAAGCGATTCTCGCCGATATCTAAAATGTCGGCCTGTTTCATGAATTGATAGGCATCCAAATTGGTGAACTCCATTTTGGCAGTGGGCAGAGCAGTAAGTGGCACCAAGACTTCATCGATAATGTGCATCACCTACAGGAAGAAAGATAGTTTAAATAAATATAGCGCAACGAAAGTCGGTATATAGAACTACCTGATAAAACAAGGAAGGGGTTTGATGCATAAGCCTAGACCTAGTTCTTTAGATCTACGACTTGAGGCACAAATATATCTGCCAATTCGTAAGAGCGTCATTTAGGATTGTACACCACTTTTTTATATTTGCAGAATCGGTTACGAAATGACAAAATCAAAGTTAGTTAACAAATATCTTTATTTGCTATTATACCAGCTCATATCCTTGAATTTTTTTCAAAATACTTTAGTTTAAGGAAGCTGCTTGTTCATTTTTGGGTGATGGATGTCTATCCATTACGACAAATAATTTGGTTACTATTCTAAGGCTATAATCTATAAGGTTCTAAAGCTATGTTGCTACAGGAATTCAAATTATAGAAATTGTTGTCTTACAATATTAATTTTACAACGATAATTTATTTCATTTTGACATCTATTAAGTATAATGGACCGTAACCTCTACTAATAATTTCTTTAAAATTTTATTATATATCGTATGAAAATTTAATTAATAACAAAAAACCATTTTACTTATTTGTTTTTTTTTTTGTGGCATACAAGATTACCAAATAGTGGCAACTTTTGAAAACCGACGAATACAAGTATATATAAAATCTCTGTTTTTTAATAGCATTTTTCCTTGTAAATCATATCTCACCTGACGCATTCCCAGACTATTGGTCATTTCGACCGTCAGCGATGGTATTATTCTAGCGTTATTCACATAAATATCGCCATTGCGATTTTTCGTTATGTACAATGATGGATTGCCACCCATATCCGACGGTATAACCTTTATGAGTTCGTCCTTCGTCATTGGTGTCGTTGCTGTAATTATGAGAAATTATTATGTTAGACATACATATATATTTAAAACAACAATATATAAAGCGATGTATTTATTCGTTAGTTTAAGTAATTTATTTGTCTGGTGTGAAATTTTTTCAACAGCATGGACAACAACAACAAACAATAACAATAGCAACAACAATAGTATAATATAATATGAAAATTGACAATAAAAAGTTGTATTTTTTTATCTTTTTTATCAATTAATTTTGCTGAATACGCATTGTTACTCACTTATGTGATAGAGCACATGTGTGGGTCCATGATGGCGCTGGAATGCAGCATTTGTAGGCACAAACACTGTGCATGGTCGCAGTGTTAAAGTGGAATTCGCAATGATATTTTGCTCTAGTAAACTATAAAACTGCAAAGAATAAAGAGAAGATGAAGAAAATTAACAATTAGTTGTATACACATCAGTACGAATGAGTTATTTACAATTATGTGTGTGTGTATAGTGGATAAATAAATTAACATGTTCTACTAAATGTTATAGATAACTAGGTAGCATATATGTAGTGTGTAGTATAAATTGAAAAGAATAAGGTGAAAATTACGTAATTACTTAGAAATTAATAAATCAAAGTCATATTAGGTACCATAATATAAAAAGAAATATTTAAAATGTTTTCCTCACATTATAAACAGTTTGGTGAAATCAAAAAGTTGTAGAAAAACCCAAATCTAGAACCATCTTAACCATAGGAGCCTATAACAAAAATAGTATGCAATGAACTCTACTTTTTGTGCAAGTGACAAACTAAGCACCATAATTTTGTTCAAAATAAAAAAAGCGAACAGCCTCGGTACATGAAAACCAACTAATGAAAAAGTTGGCCTTATGAAAGCCTATTGAAAACTTACTAAATGCCGTGCTAAATTATGCAAAATCATATATCATCAGACTAGAAAACGATCTTTATAAAATATATTGTTTTGAGACCGCTTGTCAAGGATTTATATAATATTTCCCTTTCTTAAAAATCCTTCATTCCTACATTTACATATTTGTTCACTTTATCCTAACAGCATCTCGTGAAAAACCAAACAGATGAAGATTAATTAATATCTCGACATGTGGCGCTCATCTACCATCTAACGGTATTTTTCAGGAATGCAAGAGAACGATAATAATTTCGTTATAGATGAGTAAATCATAGTTATCACTGAATTTTTCCAAAAATATATCTAATAATTTGATATATGTATATATGTAGGTGTGTCAGGCACAACTATTCTTCTCAAAACTCTGGATTTATAAGAAATTTCAAATAAAAAATACACAAACTAGACTGATAAATTAAACTTAAAAGTTGGAAAATTAAAAGAAGGGTTAACAAAATTTTGGGAAAATATATATGTATAATCTAAATGAGATATCATCGCACATACGGTTACTATAATGATTTCACATGGCATCTAGTTTTAAGAAAACTATTTATTTTGTGTTACCTAGAATATTTAAAAAAAAGATATCCCTTTGCAAATACATGTCAAACTTAGAATTAAACCGTTAGTTCCGCCATTCACATATCTCTGTAGTCAAATAAGAACCACCCGAACTAATATATTTGATTATATATCGTGGACTCCCTATGTCATAGCATTAAAAGCTGTTAAAAAAGCCTAAAAACTTTATTCCCATTATTTTTTACAAATTTTTATTTCTTCTGCATATTTCTCCTTTCATTTACCCACAAATACTTTGAATCTCTTCTTGATGTATAAAGTAGAGGGAGAGAGCAGTAAAGTGCATTGTACAAATAAATGTATGGTTATAAAATCACAGCCATCGTGCTATAAACTGCAGCAGATAACTCAAATTGCACTCAATCGAAGCTTTCACATAAAAAAGTATTTGATGGCCTAATTTTATTACAACAACTCGTAAATACAGTGTTACTGACTTAATGGAGCTCTCAAAGTAGTTCACCAGAATGAGTTTCATTGATTATCATTTCTATGCCTTCGCATACATGTATGTGTGTGCATTAGGGTAGTACACCATTGTAGATTAATTTTTAATGGATTGAGGAAGGATACTTTTTGCAATAGAGTGATGGCTCTAAGAATTTTGCTAGGGCTCACTCAGACTCTTTTCTGCCTAAATTGATGAATTGGAGGAGTGCTGGAGGTTGTAGAATCTACACACATATACATATTTATATCTTGAGAATCGCCGGAAATCGTATAAAATATATATATAAATAATATATATCTGTATATACGCGAACTAGTCCCACAGACACCCTTTTTTTCTACCCCCAAGATTGCTTATTTGAAAGAACTACAGATATCGGACCACTATTTGATATACCTGCCATACAAACTGATAGATCAAAACAAGTCCTTGCATGGAAAACTTTTTTATTTCACAATATATCTTCACGAAATTTACCACAGATTATTATCAAAGTCAGTGCTACAATCTCCGAACCAATATGCTCAGATCACACCACTCTGAAGGGTATTATAGCTTCATTGCAGTATTTTTTCTTGCTCTAGGTAATCAGCATATACAAATTATAAGACATTATGATAGCAGTAAAGCCACTAGGTGTTTTTAGTCTGGCTTTAGTTGGCGTGCTGTGGTTATGTAGATATGTACTTGTATGTGTATAATATAATATATTTTATATATATATTTATATAACAACTATTAGTATATATTTATACATGTATTCTAACTGGTATCGAAAAAACAAAAAGCGCCGCCACCCTTATATCCTTTGTGTGTGCCTCACTCCAACACTTTGCTTGTACGGTCGCTATGACTACAAAGTGCAAAAAACCAAAAGCGCAAAACAGACACATAACAGTATATGCATGTGTAGATACATTTGCTTGCATAAACCAAAAAGGCGCCCCGTTGTTGCCAAAGTTTATTGAACCAGCCATTACATCACGCTTGCAACAACAACAAATTCAAATGCAAAAACAAAAACAACACGACAAGCTACAAGCTAAAAGCTAAAAGCATTTGCAGAGTTTTCAGCTATAACAACAACTAGATATATGAATTTAGGTAGATAGATGTACATATAATATGTATGTACAATCATAGCGTTATCTTATGTAAGCACCTACATAGCTAAAATGGTGTATATATATGTACATATATACTATATGTACGTTTGCATTTCGCTTGGAGATTTTCAGATTCCGACTTGTTGTTGTGGGTAGCTTATGAAAATGCACTTACATTAAATTTAATATTGTTTGCAAACTGCTATTAGCCAAACAGCGTATTTTATCTGTGTCATTTTACTCATTCAATTACAACTTGTTTGTTTGGAGCGCCTTGTCTGGCGGTCAACGCTGCAAATGCACGAGCATTTCGTGCAACGTGCGGCAGCAAAAACGGCAGACGCCTGGCTTTAGTTGTGCGAGTTGCTGCGTCCAGTTGGCGGTACCATCGGCTGGGCCATCGACCACCGTGACTAATCATTTGCAAACTCGCTGCCACCAGCGGCTTTGTTTTGTTGCCACCTCTGTTAGCCAACTCTCAGCTGCACTCACTACATATTCGTATACATGTTCAGTTGGTTGGTTGGGCGTTGCAAATTTGGCGCCGTTACACAAACTATTTGCGGCCAACACACCTTCGCGCAACCCTCAATAAACCAAATATACGAGACATCCCCTGGCCACGAAGTGTCGTGTCCTTCCGTTTGTCGTGCATTGCACATCCGCTTTATGTTTATGTTTTTGTTGTTTTTGGTTTTAGTATACTACCTCCCTTACTCGCTGCATTTTGCAAAGGAGCTGGAATGCGCACGTATGTGTGCAGCGACAACACGCACATGGCAACTGTTATTTATTTTAGTTGTTTTTGTTGCGTTTTTTTTTTATTGACGTTACAGTTTGGTAGTAGTGCTGCCAATTGGCGCAGAATGTCAAAGCTAAAGTTTGAGTAGAAGAAAACTGAAATTATAACTGCCACCACTAACACAGCCAACGACAAAATGAAAAGTGCAAAGCCTGGAGTAGCAAAATTAATGAATTGTATTTGGTGTCATGGTCCTTGTTGGCAGTTCTTCGACGCTCGTCATTCGCTGTTCGTTGCCTCGCTTAATGTTGTTGTTTTATAATTTGTAGTTGGTGTTATTACTATTGGTTGTCTTCGTGTTGGTTGCTCTTAACTTTACAGTTGAATGCTCTATTTTTTGTGAGGGTAGGTTCAAACTCAATTTTAAGAACTTGTTTCCGTCTGATTGTGCGCTTGCTCCATCTGTATTATGACTCACTGCTATTTTCTACTCATAAATTTCTGATATATTAGTACTAAGTTTGATAGCTTTCTACCATCAACAGGACAATCTTGTGATTTGCATAAAATTTGCACACACAAAATTGGGTTTGATACTAAATTATGGAAAGCCGGTAAAACAGGACTTTGTCTACAAAATGTAATAATATTATTATTTTTAACAATAATTTAAGGTTAAAAAAATTAAGTTAAAAAAAAGAAAAAAACTTTCTGACTGATAGTATGAAAGTAGCCCTGAATAAACACAATTCACAGCTGACTTATGTAGCTTCTTCGAGCTTATGACTAATAAAATTTTGTAGAATCATCGAGAGACTCCTGATAATCGAAATTTTCTCCAAATGAGTATTATTTTGCCCAGCGTATATTCCAAAACGGAAATTGAGATAAATCTGTATCTTATTGGATCAAAAGTGCTATTAATAATACTGTAAAAATAATTTAATACTATAATTAGCATGACATTAGAACTAACGGTTGGCTCAAGTGGTTTCATCGTTCTAGTCACTCCTAGTCGAATGACTTAAGGTAGAACACAGCTTTTCCAGAGAATATCACAGAAACCTCATGTCATTGTAATTTCGCACATTGACACACGCTACTGAAACAATACAAGTCTTGATATGAAATAAACAATTACTTTCTTCTTCAAGTGTCAAATATACCGAACCACCACTCAAGACCCTCATAATGTTTATGTTTTTATGTAAAGGTTGAACCGTGATGAACTGATTGCAAAGCGCAACCGAAAGACAACAGTCAGCTGACAAATGGAAGAATTCGACTAACTTATGGTAAAAACTCAATAGCATTTGAGGTAGGAAATTGCGGAAAAACTGCGCTATTTGAAGAATATTTCTTGCAAATTCAGTAAGTTCTTCATGTTCTCAAACCTCAATAAATTTATTGCTAATATGTATTCATGGAGACAGAGGCTCTTTTTTAAGCAAAACATAAAAGTCGTGCTACGAATACTGAATCAAAAAGTTAGAAGATCGCTTACTATGACGAAAAGAACGTTTCAACCGACATTATATGGAGAATATATGTACTTTACTCTGTAAAAAAATAATAGCTAAAGAAATGGTGAAGATTATATTTAACTTTTTTCCATTCCAAGGTTAGAAGAAGAAGTTTGAATCGAACGAGAGGGAGACTTTGAATTACATTTTTATGAAATAAAAACTTATTTAAGAGAAACACATACAATGATTTAATACATATTATTAGGTGTGAAGGTTTTATTTTCCAGTTTTTTTTAAATATTTTAGATCTTTTGACTAAAAATACGTAATATAACTTAAAAATTGCTTGGCTCAGTGCAAAAAGCGTGCAGAATAATGAATTAGTTTAACTACTTACATAACAGAATGAGTTCACAAATGAAATACAAGTATATAAAACATGCATAATTCGAGAACGCAATTAAGGTGACTTTATGTATGTGCATAGGCATATATATGTATATATGTACGTTTATATATAATATATACTTTTTTTCAAAGCCAACAAGCAAATGAATTCATGTTCCTACTATGTGTGTATTTGTGTGAAATGAATTAGCGCCCTACATGCTTGAAATTTTCCCAGACACTACCCATGGAAGCCACGCGTGCAGCTACATAACTGTCATTTTCTGAACACTGAACACCTTAGCAATTATAAAATCAATACATCACAACAAAGGAGAGCCGGCACGTTTACTACACACATTATGGTAATGTTTGAAATGATTACGCACACGCATACATACACACATGCACACATCCTTTTGCATATGTTTTTCGGTAGAGGAGGTAATGACAGACGTTCAATCAACATCCTGAGTTGGCGTGTTCGAATACAGTTTAAAACGTGAAATGCTAACAATGACTCGAGATAAGAGCAACCCCCGAAAGAATATTGAAATGCACCCGAATACAGAAAAAAATTGCAGCTGGTATGGAATAAAAAAAAGGAATAGGAAAACCAATTTTCTAATCATATCTGGAATGGTTGTATCTCTGGTGTTCATTAAAAAACCAATTTCCGCGCCCTCAGTAGCCACTGGTCATATAGCTCGGACGCTCATATGTGCACATTAGCGCACGGTCAACCCTCGGTCAGGACACCGACCATAATGGGCGACTCCTAACGGCGCCATAAAAGCACCGGGCTAATACAAACAGTCGACCGCAAAGCAAAATACGAATAATTCAACCGCAACATAAGTTTACTTAACTTATTATGCACTTATGATTGCATGTGTGTGTGAGTGTGTCTGCATGTGTGCGCACTTAAATGCATGGAACTTACAAAATGCTGCGCGCTACGTAACGCAACCAACCGACTAATTTAACTTAATTCAACTCAACTCAACTAGAAGAACATAACTAAAGGAAAAGGAAATAAAGCGCTACTCAACGCAACGCAACGCAACGAAATGCAACTCTTCAAGGATATCTTACCCTAACAGGTATAAGGCGCCTCAGCGTTGTCGCCTGAAAGAAAAGAGGCGATAAAACAACATTTATATCTCATACACACACACCATACCCAGCATATGTTGTATGTAAGTGTGTGTGTGTAAGTATGCATAAGTGGCTAGATGGGTCTTTGCTGTTTAGGTGAGTGTATGATTGGTTGGAGCTTTACTAAAGAACTAACTAGTGTTATATATTGTATATAAGTATGTATACGTTTTGAATTATTAAAGGGAAAATTTATATAAGATTGTTTATCTATGTATTGTAGTATAATGTAAACCAAAATTATATATTTTCAGGAAAAATAAAGGAATATACAAAGTACATCTATTTTATATATTTTTTAGTTGTTTTCGGGTTCGGGAGCAGAATTGTTACTCTAAAGAGCTTTAGTATAGCTGTATTCAATTTGGCAAATATAAGAGCTAACAAATCGAACAAACAACAGTTAGAGGTGAATAACAAGGGGTTACACAACTACAATGAGGAATTCGTATTCCCCTGCCCGATAGATGACGTCTAATAGTCGGAAATATCTGAAGTTGTGATAATTTGAAATAGTAGCGATATTTAACCTGACAAAAATAACCGAACTTTATATTTAAATCATAAACATGCAGCGTTTTGTATTGAAAATTTGCAAATTAAAAAGATCTTCCAAACGAACCTAACTTTATCTAAATCGGATGACAGATGTTGAAATTGATGATGATTGTATGAGCCGTACTTCAGTTTATATGTGGTTTCCACAATTTAAAAATGAAAGATTTAAATGACGACCAAAAGCCAGATTGTCCAAAAGTTAGTGGTCGCGCTGAATTTGTCGAAAAAGACCGTAAAATTATTGGTATCGATGCAAATTTTACTACGAGAAGTGCTTGGCTGAAAGAGCTATTACCAGTCAAAACAAAATTTGGAAAATTTGAGCTGAAGATATTGCTAATAGAAAGATCTGTGCGCGTTTTATTTCACATGAATTAAATGAAGACCAAAAAACAAGTTTTGGATAAAAAAAAATAATTTCTCGCATCAACCACTCTCCGTATTCACTTGATCTATCATCATGTGACTATTTTCTACTCCCAAAACTAAAAACCAAAATGAAAGGAGCATTTTAAGATGATATTCCAGCCATTCAAGTAGCCGTAAGTGAGATGCTGAGTAACACTCCTATAAATGACATAAAAATGCATGCGCTGGTTGTTCGTTCCAAATTTTGTATTGCGTGTAATGGAGCTTGTTTTGAATAAATAATAACTATTAAAGACAATATAATGAGCTTTTTATTCTATATCCAAAAAGTTCAGCCATTCACAATCGTACATGTTTTTTTTTTTTTTGCCTTGCCGATGTTTATATCGTTTCATTGTGATGATTTGTCGATTATGTTTGAAAAGGTACACACAGTTAAACGATTCACCTGTCACTGAAAATATCTGTCAAACTTACACCGATTCATATCAGCATGACGTTCGCTGAGCTAAATGCCCAGAAGTCCAGAATGAGTTGAGCATTGTTTTGGTAACTCTTTTCTAAGCTTGGAATGAAAATTACACATAATTTCCACCAAATACTATTACAGTGAAGTAGCCAGGTCCTTATCGCATTTAAGTATTGCCTCCTATAGGCATAGGTGCATCGGCAGACAGCCATTCTAAGTATTTTCTAAATTCATATTATTTCAAATGATTTAAGGCTAGGATGAAATATTATGTATATTAGGGAAACCTAATTCCATTATTCTGACTCAGATTTCTCATACTTATTGATATCTAATTTCTGTCTACCTTTTTCTAGATCGATTTCAGTTTCAACTTGAAGTGTTCTGACCCAGGAATAAAATTCCTCAATGTTAATTGTATAAAAAAATTTGAAAAATGGATTACTTCTCTGGTTCTCTTTTGTCGCTTGAAGTGACCCAAGGTACCACAAATTTTAGAGACGATATCTTAAGGACTTGATAAATTCCCAGCAACTTTTGTTGTCCACAAGAGTAAAAATATGATTTTAAATCAAAGAAAGCTGTAAAACCATTTTTTCGAATTAATACTTACTACGTTCACATTATTAATTCCGCCCAAAAAACGGCTTACCAAATGAGTTACTTAATCCAATGAGCGATAAAAGTACAATCCCCTGTCAAATATATTTAATCGATCCATCATAGTGACTCTTGAATTAGTAGAACAACTTTTCTTCATTTCTTGATTGCATTAAACAATTGCGCAGTAAGGCTAATTTAATTTCTTGATTGTTATTATTTTCATTTCCAAAAATAACAACAACAAAATTTTGTAATAATAAAAATTCTTCACGCGTTAATTTTCGATCAATTAAAAACGCTTTCGATTCATTATAATTAAACATAAGAAAGTATTCCCAACTAAAAAACTTACAACAACAACTACAACAGCAAATACTTGTAACATGCACTTAGCAGAAATATTAGAAATGCAGAAGCTTTGCCTGTCTGATGAAAGTAGTTCTCAATTAGCACTTCCCAAAAGACGCACAAACACAGACACACATTTATGTATGTTTACATATGATATTCATCATAACTGTGAAAAGTAAAACGGGAACGGACATGGCCTCACACATAAGCGCACAATTACTCACACACATCAACATATCTACGAAAGTCTCTGCTGTAAGCGGCGAAAAGCGTTTGTGAAGTTCGCTTTTCTTTGCACGTCATGCACATAGACGCTTTGACTCTTGCTTTGATACTCGCATAAATGTAATAAACACCCCCTCATAATAGCCGACACAATCGATGTGGCTACATTAAGGTCATCGTCACGTTGTTGAGCAGTTTAAATCTTAATTAAATTTAATTGAAGTAGTCGCTGGAGCACTTTGCCGCTCCCGAACCACACATATGTACATACATATATACATACGTGCGTGCATACATATTACATGTGCATTTAATCATAGTCATAGATCCTGCATTCATCATTCAGCACGTTCCATAAATGCAGAGTTGGAGGCCAAAAGCGACTGCCCGGTAAACAAAGGCAACAAATGGGATCTAAGTGCCATTAATGTCAATCGCAGCGAAGCGTCCCACATGCGCCACCACTTGTATGCGCACACACATACACATACATACATATATACATGCATGCATATGTATATGTGATTACCAAAACAAACGCACGCCCACACAAGCGCAGAGGCGGCGCATTTATATGCAACATGCATGCTTTCTCACATACATACAAACAAACATACGCATGCATGGAAACATATGCATTTTGATGTAAATGCATAATTTGCTGCTAGAAGAATACATAAACGGCGGCTGAGAATGCAAAATGCCAATACTGACAAGTGGCCGCCGCAGAAAGCCGGCGCTGGCGGAGCATTTCTTTCAACACACTTTTTAGAGACTGCGGCCGGTGGGCTGAGCTTGACTGCATGTGCATGGTTACACACCCATTTAGTGGACATAGTTAGTTATATAAGTATACCTATATATATGTATGCGAAGCCAATGTACAGTTATATCCAGGGTGTAGACATATAATCATACCGACTTATAAGATTCTGACAGGAAGACGGGTCAGCGCTTTAAATTCAGAGGTCAATTACTATGCAGAAATTATGACATTAAATTAAGCAATTTGTTAAAAATAAAGTGGAAGTGCAGAAAGCGAGACCTCATATTCAATTAAAGAAATTGCAGTGCATTCGCCAATATATTGTATGGTATATATACACTAGTAGATCCGGCCACGCGTTGCTGCGTCTATGGTATACATTAAATACTTTTATACTAAATACAGTGTGAAAATATTACTTATGAATAAAGGCGTAAGTGTTATAGCCAGCATAAGAATTTAAGGGATTGTACTTGAGGTTTGATTTTGAAAATGATTGATGATTTGTCAAGTGAAGAAATAATGATAATGATTAATTTTACAAAAAATCATAAATAATTTTAATTTTTGAGCAAAAAAAAAATCGTTACTTTTGTATCATTATCGATGAAGAAAAACATGAAAATTAGAATTTAGTAAGTCACCATGGAATTGCTAAGATCGTCGAAAAAGAATAACCACGACCATGCTTTGACTTTTAGTATAATTGAGATATCAACAATCCTATCTTTTAAAATGGATCAAACTGGATACAGTGTGCTAAATATTGCTAGAATCGGTTCAGTATACATATATGTAGATATCTGAGTTGCATTGAAAGCTATGCATCAAATTTAAATTTTAAAGCTCTAGAGCTTAGAGTGTGGACCACAAAGTTAGTTTTCAACGTGGGCAGCTTTATTTCGATAGTGTCGTGTATGGCGATCGTATCTTCGAAAAAAGTTAATGAGTACTAGCTATTATTGTTTTACTGAAGCTTTAAGAACTGTCGAATCAAAGATTCATTGAAAGCTGCCAGTGTTCTAATCTAATGGAAGCTCTGAGTAAAGCTTAACTTATAGATTTTCTTATAACAATGAAATGTTCAACAGAAGTCAAAACTAATCTAATTTTAATAGATATAGTAGCAAAATATTCTAGAACATCACCGTTGAAGTGAAAGTACTTTGCTGTATAGGAACTTTTTTTTTAACCAAATAAAGGTCAAATAAGGGTACTGGGGCACAAATACAAATAGAAAGTAGGATAGATAGAGAGATAATAAATTATATTTCATAAAATATAATAATATTGGGGCTCACAGAGCGCAACAACTTTACCCAGTTTTCCAAGACCTCATATTACTTAATGTTACTTTACTAAGAAGACGTTCTTAGTTAGTCTATTATTTATAGAACAGGTGTTTTCCGGAAGTCCATAAATATTTACACGTCAAATCCGAGATGATCAAATGAATTCGTCGAGAGGGATCATTATCGAATATGATGACTGAAGACAGAATATCTAGTGCTACAAATTCATTATTTGAACTGTAATGGCTTGTTTGGTTAATAACTCGACTCGACGATTTCCATTTTAACATAAAAAATTTCGACAACTGCTAGAGTTTCGGTTTCCTGGTGTACATCT